GTAATAAAAACGAGTCTTTGAAGTATTTTCACTGCTGTTGTTCAAGCAGTAAGGTAGATGTCGTCACTGTGATCGTGACGGTGGCAGAAGCAGGTCATTGTCGCAGTACAATCAATATCTAAATAATCGTACAACAATCCCTCTTCAGAATAAGACGAGTGTATTATCTACCAAGTACATGCTAATCCTAACAACGTCAATATATAAACATTCAAGCAACATTAGCATATAAATAAAGCAACACAAAACACGAGGACTGTTTACTTCACTTTCTGGTATCAATATTCTAAAGATTATCCACGCTCTACAATCTCTTGCCCAGCTTACAATGAGTCGCTATTGGTAACAGTAATTATATCTCTCACTGTTCGCTCTCAAATACAATAGGTAACGGTATATTACAAGGTCCGGGCTGCTTAATATTGTGATTGGCTAGGTCAGACCAACGTGACCCGTAGGACTTATCAGGTCAAAGGTTATAGATAATCGCGACATGTTTTCCTTAGGGTGTTCACCTCTCCGGTCGACCTTGAGAACGCCGGAGGGCGTTAATTTCATCCAGATGTCAAATGCATGGTGCGAATTGTTCGACAACTGCTGAAAGGAATGTCGTTTGATCTGGGGCATGTTGGAAAGAACTATAACACACTCCTAGAGTCTCAATACACATTTTCAACTTTGACCATAGTAGAAAATACTCGAATGATGAATACCGATGTTGAACTCGTGCTGTTACAGAATTACGTCCGATCGACAGCTTCAAGATATATATATATACATTTTGACATGGTTTCTGACTAACTAAAGTATTTTTGTTCCGCACATCATACAAATCGTCAATTGCAAGTAGTTATAGATTTACAAAATAGTGCTTGAGTGAATTATTTGCCGTTTGGGACATTTGATCCTGTCAAGAAGCGATCACTTCCTTCAGTGCAATTAAATGTAAGAGTTACTTCCCTTGCACCTTGTCCATGACGAAAGCGCGTTACTTCACTGTATCGGCAGAATGGACTAATCTCAATTGTTTATTTTTAATTTTGCTGTGAACTCATTCATCAATCTTTATCACTCTTGCTATTTATCCCTTTTATATAGCCAGCAATTAAAACAATTCTGCCTATGCTAATGAATCCTGGTCATCAATCTAACTATATACGATTTTTTTTTATAAAATAAGGTTCCTTGTCAAAAACATATTGGGCCTTTTATGTCATCTCAAATTTGTTGACTTACATAACGGAAGAGACTATTCCTCTAAAAAATACAAAAACTGAATTTAGTGATTCTTTTTCTTTACTTTTTGTATTTTTTGGAGTTTAAATAGAGCGAGTATTGTGCCGCCTTTTGCAATATTCCAGTAAAATCACGGCGGGGTTGACCAGAAATAGGCTTCACATATTGTACCTATGTGGGGAATCGAACCCGGGCCTTCGGCAAGAACAGCGAGCGCTTTAAACGCTTGGCTTCCCAACTCCCCAAATCTAAATAGAGAGATACAAGACTCAATGTAAACGTTGTATTAAATTATTGAAAACTAGCTAAAACTATACCTCCGTACCACGCCTGTTTTCACATGAACTAAACCATCCACATAAATTGCAAGAAATGATGTAAAATGAAGCCGACTTCGTGAAATAAGGTTGGTTGGTTTGTTGTTTAACGCCGCACTCAGCAATATTCCAGCCATATGACGCAGTCTGTAAATAATCGAGTCTGGACCAGAAAATCAAGTGATTGATATCATGAGCATCGATCCACGCAATTGGGATACAGACATGCATCAATCAAGTCAGCGAGCCTGACCACTCGATCCCGTTAATTGCCTCTTACGGCAAGCATGGGTTGCTGAAGACCTATTCTACCCGGATCTTTACGGGTACGTGAAATAAGGAGCCAGTTGTAGTGTTGTAGTGTTGTAGTGCATTATTCCGGGCTAGTTGTAGTGCATTACTCCTGGCTAGTTGTAGTGCATTATTCTTGGCTAGTTGTAGTGCATCATTCTCTGATTTTGTTTTGTCCTAAACCGTGGAATTAATGATCGAAATTCAAACACAACAAACGTTTACAGGTTTTTTTTAATTCATCGCATATGAGTAATGGTTAAAAAAATAATTAAGAATTAATTAAAAGTTCCATATTGACGTTGAGTTATTTCTTTTCTCCCGTAACACACTTCTCCATATTACTTCCATTCTCGAGGGAAGCATAAAGACTGTTTTTAAAAAAAATGTGTTGCACTTTTGTGAAATGTTTGAATGGAGGATCAGTCGACAAAGTAATTGAAACAAATCCATCACGAAGAATAGCAACTAACATTAGTATACTGAGGAGCAAAAGAAACTATACCTCTCAGTTGATTTATTTGCATATCTTAAGTTAGCTACATTATATCAAAAAAATGAACTGCACTGGCGCTTAGTCAGCACTCAAAGAATACTTCTACGTGGTTTCATTTTTAAAATATAATTTGATATAAAACATTTAAAATTTCAAAAAGAAAAGTTCTCAAAATCGTCAACTGCTGGTGGGTATCTTTGACATATTATATTGAAAATCAATTAATTTGTTTGTTTTTTCGGCACATGGTAGGGGTCACGTGATTGCAAATTCATTTCTTGCCCGAGTCACCTTTCAACCAATTTATGTTTACACACAATTTCCCAGCCATAGATAACCTTTTTACAAACCTTTGCAGGAATGAGTGACGGGTCAATGGACATAACCAAATTTAACAACAGTCTTTTTAATTTTCAATTTCATAAAAAAGAAACTCTATATACATTCTTTTGTACCTTTATGCAAATACATCTACCCAATTAATCAAACAATGCAAATCTTCATAAACTCAAAAATATAATGTACACCATCTGCCAATATCGCCAAAGCTTGAAATACATGGACGATCGCACATGCTTTTTTGTAAAACAGAATACATTTTCCAATGCAAGTTTCCGCTGATTGCAAACGGATATCTAAACCGAGATTCTAACTACTAAACGAATTATGAAATTGTTGACATTTTGTTATAAGCACGACAAGGTTGAAAAAAGGACACGGCGATTTATCCACAACGCCATGTTTGATATGATCGACATATGTCATGTCAATAGCATGTTGGTACGACTGCAGGAGCAAGGCGGTGTGCGGCGGCGGCCACGAGATGGCAGATGCAGATGCTGCAATATTCATTGCATGTTGTAGTCGTGCTAAAGGTCAGGCCCCGCTGCATACGTGTACAAGACGACATGTGGTGTATCTACAGGCTGTGTATGAGCGTGGGGATATTGATCAGCTCCGTTACCATGCGGAAAGCTGACCTTGACCATTAATGCGTCATAAAGATGAAGATATTCTGACCACATTCATGTTGAATACAGTGGGTTTCTCTGACATGTTTAAAGTCGACGCATATCACAATTGTTATAATGATAAGTCGGGAAAGTAATATCTATAAATAAAGCTCTTCTATATTTCATCACGTATCGTGTTCATTGTGGAATATTTACATATTTATATATTTTATATATGATTTCTTATATATGATTGTTGTAGGCAGGAGTTGCTCAATGATCAGTCATCGAGTTTTGAATGTGTATGTTTCTGGGAAATTCAAATGTTGTCAATCTTATTCTTTGAACTAAAATGCCTCATTAGTTACACATTTAGTATGCCTTTAATTGAGTGAACATTAATTATGATTTTTTTAAAATTATGTATTTACTGAAAAATGAACACAAATAATTTTTATCTCTGCAATGGATTCGTATTACTTCCAATAAATCATTGCATAGATAGTAGTCCCCAAATCGTCGGAACATTTCCTGCGCCCAAGATCCTTTCACAGAAGCTCGTGCATATTCACACTCACACTATAAAAGCTGCTGAGATAACATAATGACTCGGCGGTTCTTTGTTCGTGTAAAATAATCGATTTTCAGAGTTTCATTTTTTTAAAATGCCATCCACTAAGAATAGAATTATGACGTCATAAGATAGAAATAGTGACGTCATATATGTTTCACGATACCAACAGGTGCTTGTGATGTCACAAGTGCACGTGCGATGCGTAAACGTGCTTGTGTACGCGTGTTGCCTGCCTGTGCGGCTGTGTGACAATGACTGTACAATATGGACAGGGAAATGAAACCGAGATTTCTAAATAGCACTGCGCGCCTCCGATTGCATTTCGCTTTGACTGAGAAGGGTGAGAAATTACTAGACTTCGACTATCATAACTCCCCCCTATGGATTTACTACAAAAAGGGTATATGGGCTGATTACTTTTACCAGTTTGATTGATATCAATATTACTGCGACAACATTTATTATTTTCGTTATCTCATCCTCATCGTAAGAGAGCTATATGTCTGCGAGTTGGCCATACTGTTCCCTCTTTTATTTTCCTAGGTTAGCCAGACGGTTGATGGGAGCTGTGAAGACGTTTAAGTTAACTATGTGTAATGCGATCTCGCCTCTTTTTGCGTCACCTAGGCATTTTTTGGCGGGAGCAAGATGCCCGTATGTAGAAAATGCTCTTAAAATTTAGCCCTGTTATGTAAAAAGAGGTAGCCCTTCTCCCGTCACACACGTTTTGTTCATTAATACACATAGCTGTATGCATCGATCCAGTCATCTCTCTTAGTGTAATAATGACTTTAATAGATATTAATATACAAGAAATTTGATCATTTACAGCAATTAATTAAAAAATAACAGTTGATTAAAATTAAGGCTGTATAAGTCATTGACCACGAATCAGGTAGTCGCTACTTTTAGATATCATACTTACCTTTGATATTAGCGAGAGTTCACGTGAGGTCACAAGTCCTGGACTTGCTTCAATGAGATCTGTCATATTGTGTCCTAGTTAAACTAAATACGGATACGAAAATATTGAATAGTGACACCAATGATGAAATATCTTTGAAAAACTTTGATTCTTCCGGGGGGTGGAAGTTGTTAGGCAACCAGCTTTGATGTCAGGGCGGGAATCCCTTTGACGAAGGGCATCCCCCACCGGAAACATCCGAGAACAACCGATTGCTACCGCTATCGTGACCAGGGACTGGCATACTTTGTAAGGCGCATTTTCACTGTTGATGGCGTAGACTGTTGACCCTTGTAAATTCTTATTCTGGAGACACGGGAACAAGCGACATCTTCTCCCCTCGCCGCATTGGCGTGCTTGGGAATACGGCTACGGTGGATGACGTCACGTGCCCTAACATCAACAAAGTTAGCCGTGAGAGACCACCATCTTTTACACGTACGATTAATGCAATCGGGTTTTTGCAAAACTAGAAAAAATGTTTAATCATCGAAGCAAAGATTGAAAGGACAGATCCTTGGCCATCGCGTGCCATAAAGGTGAATTTCCAGTTTGTTTGCAAGGAATGTCTAGCGGGAACACTTGGGGACCGCCATCTTGGACCACAAACAGCTCTAGTGGAAATTCATCGGTACAAAATCGCGGCCAAGGTAAATCGTGGGGCAATTATTTACCAGATCAGATATTATATGTCACAATGGATATACCTACTACAAATGTGACCATTTATTTTGTTCATATAACCACCATGGAATAAGAAGATCGCCCTTTTATAGGCCCTGTATCCAAATTTGGCGAAAATTTCCTTACAGTCCATCTTGCTAGTATTATCGGATGCCAATTAATTTACCCCAGAACCTGGTGACAAGCCTAAGTTGATACATCCGTCTGCCATTTTGTTACAGCACTAGCGCATTTTCACAGCAACTAGTTGCCACAGAGGGCAGAACATTTAATTCTTAAATCTAAATGCCATATTGTTTATGGTGACGTCAGTGGTGTAAATTGTTGACTCGTGTTTGGCAAAATCTTGCCGCAGGTTGCACTCGTGTGTCAACACCGTGTTGTGAACCTCTGCCATGTTTATTGGTTAGGGCACGGAGAGTCCATTTTTACTTCTGGACAATTCATGTTGGATACGATATTCCTTGCATGTGACATTCAGTTTGACAGGTGATAAATTAGTAGCATTCCAGAACTGCCCTTGATTCAGCTAGAAGGCAATTACAAGATCGGTCAGCTGTTCATGGGGATTATTTAGGCCATTGCTGACCTTGCACATTGAACGAAGTATTACTGATTTGTTTCACATTTTGTGAAGGTACTATCACCAAGAACATCAAATACATAACAAAATAATTATTTGTATGATTGAGACAACCATTACAGTATCTCTTCTAGAAATGGTCAAACTATGATTCCTCATATTGACAATATATGACAAAATTATTTTGACTCCTTCACAGGAGAATTGCCGAATATTTGTCTCTTGTTGATATATACACTATGATTAATTTTTTGTTGTTGGCATGACGACAATGATGTTACAGGATGTGAGACCCTCATTTCCTAATAACAATTTTTTCTCATACTTTATCAGTGACAGCCTTCATTATAACAATCACTATCAAGAACAATGAAAAGATTTACAGAAAACATGATGTTTAACATCATGCTTGTTGAAGCATGTTGGTTGAATGAATGATTGTCAGAAGTATGAATGATGTTGATGAATGAGGGGATCATTCAAAGTGAATATAGCGCCTTCCCTTTTCAGCTTCTAAAAAAGATGAAATAGCTAATTCATTTGGAGGTAGAAAAAATGCTGAAAGGTTACAGTGACTTTGACATTTTAACAATACAAACAGGACATTATTGGAGGGTTTTTTATGTTATTAAATGCAGTTTGATTTGGCTTATTTCTAGAAATATCATTCATTCTAACTAAATTATCAGTAAAAAAACTGTTAAATCAGTTGCCAAGACTACCAAAGCTTGAGTCTGTGAAAGATGTTTTTAGTGTAGGATATGTGTATTTGATTTGATATATGTATGTATAATTGTAATTTACATTATGTATCTGATTCCATGATGCAGTATTTGATATAATTGCTCCCAAAGCTCATAATGACAAAATGATTGCATATTTTATGCATATCTGGTAAAGAGAATGACAGGAGTGACAGTTTGCCATATATTGAAGGCAAGTACAGACTGAATGGACCTATCTTGGGCTGTGACGGATAACTCGGGTACTCTGGTCGGGTAGGTACTGAGTATGACCCGGGTACCCACAGGACTACCCGAACCCGTGGTTAGTCATGTGATGTATTGTTTCAAAAATGACAAAAATTCACAATATAACTACATGGTTACATGACAATTTTAAGTCTCTATTGTTCGCATTTCTTCATGACTATGAACACGTTCCTTCTGACTTATATGTTTGAACAAAGTCAGTCAACTTCAGTGTATGCATGACCACATCGTTTTATACATGTATCCAGTTACATTCTGCAAGGGCTACTGTCAAACTATTCCCAATCGGACATTTTGTACCTATCTCTTGACACCAACAACGGGCACCCGGGTAGGGTCGGGTAATAGGGGTGTGGGTACCCGTGTAGTAAAATTGGACTCGTCCCAGCCCTAGATCTATCTATATTTGAGTCCAGGGGCCTCTCAGTTATAATTTGGGTGTTCTAGGCTGGCGACACGGGTAGACACCAGGCTTACTATCAAACTAGTCTCACTGCCACTGTGGTCTTGTGCATAGAGCATCTACCTGGAGAGCGGAAGGTCGGGGTTCAATCCCCAGCCGTGTCATACCAAAAGATATTAAAAGATGGTAAAATGACCAGATTGTGGGAAAAACAACAACTAGTGCCTCAGGGATTTTCACTAGTCTTGAATTAACGGACCAGTGGCCATGTCTGTCCATGTAACATGTGACACACTGCACTTGATTCCAAGAATTTTACTGATATATCACTGCGCATACTCGGAAGCCCTTCAGCGTGTATGGATGGTCAGTGCTTTGTTGAAGAAAGTCAAGAATTGATCCTTGGCACTTTGAATTTTTTCTTTCTATATGGGTTCGTTAACATGCTAACCACAATGTTCATTAGTTTCAAAGATTCAGGACAGTCATACTTCTTTGTTGAGCTGAGTATCAACTGGTATCTTTCGATACGATTTGTATCATGAAATGGACTGACTTTACTACTGGTATCACAATATACTTTTTCTTCCTTAAAGCAAACCACAAAAGCAAAACAGGTTTAAATGAAGGGATGGTTATTAATGTAACAATTAGTCAGCGAGCCCTCAGCTACAATGTTCTTGTAATCTGCCATGCTTACAGGTGGCGCTATTCTTTTCTGCCATTATGGGAGGCAACTCTATTGTTTCTGTTCTATTTCTAGAGTATTGCAATCTCACAAAATGACGATTCAAGTTTCGTGTGTCAGTGTTCCTGCTGGTTTTTGATACTGCCTGTCCTGGTGCACTGGCAACTCTAAAAAGTACCAGTTCCCCGAAATTTTTGTCAGTACCAACTTTCAACAAATCAAAAAACATATGCAAATTACCTGATTTTAATTCTTCCAACTTCGTGTTCAATGCAATGACGTCATCTCTGAAGTAACTTAGTTAGATCTACCGTCATTCACACAAAGTTCAGTCACAATTTTCTTCAGACCGCTGTCATATAGCAGGAATATTGCTGAGTGCAGCGTAAAACAACAAACAAACAACATGTGGTTCGTTGTCATTGTGTTCTGGTTGTTTTCAGTACTGTCTCATCTGGTCCCTGAGTAAGTGATCGTTGCATACAAACTCCAGAGCTCCAGATAAGCTGCGTGTCTGCGTGAAATACACATCAGAAATGCAGAAATACACAGTAAAATATAATCCAAGCGTATCAAATACGCAACGAACATTACAGGATACGCTACAAAAATATAACTTGTGCGTATCATCAAAATATTGTGAAGTAACCCTGCGTATTCGATAAGCAAATCAGCAACTTATTTTGAAATTATAAACGGGCATTCCGTCAACGTTGCCAAACTCCACGATGACAGTTACATCATGATCATTTGCCATCACACTTTCTTGTGGAAGTATCGTGGTATTTTTGAGTCCTATAAAGATCTCGAACCCACACAGCACCAGTTTGCAGGGACTAGATGAATAGTGTTTTTAAACATTTAACTTAAATACCCACATGTGTAAAAACTAGTGGGTAACAGAAATTTGAATACACAGATAGAATTACTGATACCCAATGATTTTAAAATGCATGGGTAAAATACCCACAACACCAAAAGCTTATCTGGAGCTCTGAACTCTGTTTCAGTTATAATACAGGGATGTGAAATCTCCGCGGAAACGCGGAAAATCGCGTATTATTAATAAACGATACATAGGGTTGTGACTGTTTATCTTCCGCCACGTCATGGTATTTCTCCACAATGTGTTGCATGGATACAAATGCATATAAATATAAAACATCAATGCTAGAGTTTAACAAGTCTTCATTCCCCCAAACAGATTTATTGAGTGCAAAAGACAAAATAGCATTGAAAAAAATATGAATGGGTGAGTGAGTGAGTGTTTTTAAGCCGCTTTAGCAATATTCCTGCAATATTGCGGTGGGCGACACCAGAAATGGGCTTCACACATTGTACCCATTTGGGGAATCGAACCTAGGTCTTCTAACCACTAGGCAACCCTATGGATCACATGACCCGTGAAGATTCGGGGTTGACAAGGTGTTCAGGTACCCATGCTTGCTGTAAAAGGTGCTGTAAGGCGCCGCGATTCGCTGTGCAGAGTTGCGTCCCATGGACATGCCAGAAACCTATGATTGTGGGTTTGAATCCCGGTTCACCCTGATAATGTTTCTAGGTTTGTCAGCACCATACCCGTGCTCGTGGGTTTCACCAAAGTGGTAAACGTCCGAGACCTGCATCACTTCGGGCTTTCCTCCCCCATCAAGCTGACCCGCCGTGACATAACTGGAATAATGTTAAAAGCGGCGTAAACCCAACTCACTTGCTCACTCAATGTATTTGAATATAACCTTGGCATATTATGAGCATCATTTTGGTGTTTCATGAAAGATTAAAAAATATCCCTATCCAAAATGGATTAGTATATTTTATGATGATATGTATACAAGCTGTTAGTTCTAAAGGACTAATTTTGTTTGGGTTGGGCCTATGTTCATCTTTTATAATGATGTAATATGTCTTCTTAATGTGTCATTCATCTCAATCTTACTTTATGATTCTTAACAGGGACACTGGTGCCCCTGTCGTCTGTGTAGAGTTTTATGCTTTGGACATCCAAGAAACCTATGATTGTGGGTTCGAATCCTGGTTCGTCCCGGTTGTTTCCAGGTTTGTCAGCACCAAACCCGTGCTCGCGCTTTTCACCAAAGTGGTAAACGTTTGAGACCTGCATCACTTCAGGCTTTCTTCCCATATGAAGCTGACAATCATTGAGCTTGTACCAATGATGTATCAGTAAGGGTGGACTCCATTGGTCAAACCCAGCGCATCGGCCGCTCATTTCAGATGAGTTGTTTGTGTAAAGAACTAGATTTTGGGATAAAACAACTAGTCTCTCTGGACTTTCACTAGTC